CAGTGGTCGATCGATTTATGTAAATTCGCTTTTGGCGAGCCTCAAACGTTTCTCTCTATTCTTACTTTAAACGATTCGTTGCTCCGCGACTGTTCCACTGTATTACGTTAATTCTCGAGAATGTTCGGTCATTCGTATAATCCTTTGTGGAACGAAGTTCCTAAACAAATTGTGTCCCTATTAAAAATGAGAACAGACAGATTAGTTATTTTCTATCGATTCTAATTCTACTTTGTTTTTCATATAGAATAATTTCTTTTGTCTATAACGGTACAATTTTGGAGTTCTTTGATTCATTCTTTTTTGTATAATATTCGAACTTTTTGAAGCTTTTACTATTCCCAGCAGATGGTATTTAGTCAAATCATTAAATGGAATTATTAGACCACGCGCGCGTGCGCGCGCAGGAGCATCTGACATTCCGTAGAATAAAAAGTTTAATAAAGTTTAACGAGGATACTGTTTTATGTGCAACCCGATACAACTTCTTAACAGAGTACGCAATTTTTTGTTCCACTCAAATGGCTGCAAATGAATTCATGCATTCCCATGCTCGGGTACGTTTCTACGTCTAATGATCATTGCGCAAATGATTTGCATACGTGTTAAAGATAGAGTACACATGTTGTATATATACCGCATAGTCGATTGTGCTTTATCGAAGTAATTATAAAAGAAAATCGTGTGAACGGAATCGCGCGGAATTAATACAGTTTTCTATTTTTTAATCGTGAGGAACGAATAAGTACATAGTGAGAGTGAACTTTTCTTGCTTTAGATTTCACATGGAAACAGAGCTATTATTCTTCTGCTTCACGAATGTTCTAATTTTTTTTTCCTTACTCATCGTTTATTGCTTTTGGGTAGTACTTTGCTGTCGCGTCTGCGCGTCGAGTGTTGCTTATACTGTAACTTTCAGAAAAGCGAATTTCTGCACTTTAACACGTAATTTTTCATTTTTAAATTGTTCAACTAAGTATTTCATTTTTCATTCAAAATTGGTAAACTGTCGTGAACGTATAATCATCCAATTTCCAACTGATCCAACAGAGAAATTATCGCACCACCGCGCATGAAACTGCCGATTGTAGTGTTACATAAAGCATTGTTCAAATTTAAGGTCAGGTGTGAAAGTTATCTAAAGTTGAAAGTTTGAAAGGTGAACGATGCAAACGGAGAACTCTGCAATTACGAAATACAAAACTATAGTTTGCAACTGTGGTAGAACTTCATGAAATATGTGTATCGAGGAAAAGAACTGATTAATATTCTATTTTCTCCATTTTTACTTGCTCCTTGAAGTGTTCGTTTGCATTAAAACCTGAGTGGACTTCAAACTGGTAAATATGTTAGTTCAGGATTGATAAACGGCATCGTATTAAGTACATGGGCGAAAGAAAAGTAAAGAAATCAAAAAGATCCATGAAAACCTGCGTCGCGGATATCTGTCTGTATATTGAAAGAAAAATGACGTTAATGGGTATATCAAATTCCACTCCATTTTATCGTATTCGTCGCATCTTTCAATAACCATTTCTTACGTAATCCGGAGTTCGTGCAACTCCTTCGGAAGTCAGTAGTTCGTTCGCGATGCAGCTGCGAGGAGAGCTTTGCTTGGGATTTCTTTGAGAAAAGAACGCCGACGTTCACCGCGGATGCATTTGCGACTCAACCGGCAAGACGATCGTAATTACTTTGATAAAATTGATGAAGTTTACGATAAAGCGCCGCTTCCGTTCCCAGTTTCCCATTGGAAACGGAAGTTTCATGCGCGCCCTTCCAATATTACGTTCATTTTATACAAGGTGGTTTGTCGTTCACGACACACAAGGAATACAGTTGAATCCTCGCCGAGTAACTAATGAAATGTCGAGATTCAAAATTGTTAGGGTGTAAAACTTCGCTTTTCTGAAACTTACAGTACAAGTAACGCTTGACGTACAGACGCAACAGCAAAGTAGTATCCAACAGCAATGAATATTCAAATTTGGTTTTGCTATGATTCTCTAGAATAACGGGATTCATTTTTCGAGGAAAGAATCAAATACATATTCACTTTATTGTCAGGCATTGTTAGACCTTCATCTAATTACACTTGCATCGAAAAAAGAGAAATGATTTTCTTTTCTGTACGTTTCAATTGCACGAAGTGTCGCAGCCCACCGATATCTTAACCATTCACATGCTGAATGTACTTCAGCGTGTTTCGTTTGTGTTAGAATGTTTTGACTTCAAATAAAACGTTTCACTTGAAAATTTCTGTTGTCGTTATCATCAGTTCTTTGCTATTTTGGTGAAAATATCACTTTAGGTTCTTGTAGCAATGAAAGCATAGGAGTGTCAGGTATTTTCTCAATCAGTTCTCTATTAATTCGAGATGCATAGAGTTAAAGTCCAGTTTATACTATTCCAATATGTCGACTCTCGTCTGCCGAAGTACCGTGTCGAGCTACGTGTCAGCTGCTGTGAATCATATGAAACATTTGTTAGCTTTCTGAAATGACATCGCGACGAAATCAAGTCTCGGCACTGAATTAATTGATCCACGGTGATCCGCGTGATACTCGGATCCCAACGGTCGCCTTCGTTGCTATTTCCACGTATTCGGTCGATTGCACCGCTATCTTCGATCCTTGATACGGGCCGATATCGTTCCACCTTGTGCTACTTCAACTTTCGACGAAAGAATTCTCTCGCGTTAGAAACTTGCTCGGAATTCGAGTGATATCGAAATTATACAGGTTAACGAGAAAAGATCTTCAAAGATTAGGATTTCTACTGAGAGCAGAGTAAAATGTTTCAGTAATTCGCCAGGTAATTTTACAGCGTAGTTATCTGTTATACTTCAGACTGTTAACCTTTGTCCTTCTGGAAGAATTCTATCGATTATCAAAGATATTATTTTACCAAGTGCTTATTTCATTATACACGTGGAAATTGTGGATTGAACTACTGTTGAGACTTTCGACCTTTGTCCTTCTGAAAGAATTCTATCAATTGTCAAAGGTATTTAACTAAGTGCTTATTTATCGATACACTTGGAAATTCTTTCAATATCCTGCCATTCGATTATTTTCATCATCGCAAAATCTATCTAGCATGCGTTGCAGGACAACGCATTTGGGAAAAAAGGG